CGATATTTTTATCCCATATGAATAAAAATATCCCATAGTAATCTCTGTGGGCAACAAAAATGCAGGAAACATGGTACAATTCTTGCGTCCAAAGTTTTTCATGATGTTTTTCATCGGTGAAAGTCCATTTGTATTATACTACTGCGATATTGTTTCTGTATTCTCACTGCTATTCATACGCTTCCTGTTCTATGTTTGATTGTACTCCTTCCGATTGTTTTCACTACATAAACTGCAGTAGATACGAATTTTTTTCCCAAAAGACTTTTAAAGTGATTTTCAACAATAATCAATATAAAATAGAGGAACCGTGCAATTGAAGCAAGTTTTTTTTTATCGAAGTGATTGAAAACCTGTAAAAATGGATTTGTTAGAGTATTAATACGAGAAAAAAAACTACAATTCTATCAAATACTGATGCTCAACTTATGAGGCGAAAAAAATTTCTTGTGAAAAAATTGCAAAAAATTGATAGTCAGGATGCAAGCTGCGTTAATGATACGGTCAAAGAAACGGATTGCTCGACGAAGAAGATTACGCAGGGAAGGACGACTATACGATTTACCAAGCAATGGTAAAGCTTGCAGTATAAATAATTTAAAGCGATATTACAAACATGCATACATAATTTAATTGCAGTATCTGTAAAGCAATTGCAGCCGTTTCCACAGTATCCACCAGATCAATGGGTTGGCGATCTTGACACAAGCGTAAAGGTGTTTTGCTTGTTTTTCTATGTATTTTAAACCACTCCAATAAATATAGATGCATCGCTTGATTGACACTTTTTTTAGAAAGAAAAGTGCACCTTGATCTTAACTTTAGTGTTCAAACACAAATCTAATCGCAAAAAGTTCAATTTGAAATTGTGTTTGAAGAGGTAATCCTACTTCTATTCATTGACAGCCATAAAACAATAATTTTGTTCGCTATATTTGTTTCTCTTTTCGCATAAGAATGGTACAATTTAGTTAATTCGATAGCAATATCAATAGACGCTCTTAATCAAACACACACATTGTAGTGTAGATTTTCTCTTCTTTCAGAACAATTTTGCAATCATAGAATCAATTCTGTCAAAGTTTTAGGCCCAAAAGTCGTTCACATGGAACTTATACATATATATTCATATTGCATCAGTCAATGTGATTGAGCAATGACCATTCACAGAGCAAAATTATTGTTACAGCGAGTTACGGACATGAATAATTATGATACAGTTGTTGCATTAAACAACTACTGTCCAATCACAATGCAAAAACACGATATAAAATTGAACTTAAATCTAAGATAAAAAATATAAGCTAAGAATCAATCACGAACTAGAATTCAAATATTGCCTCAAATGAACGAAACTCAGTTGGAAATAGCTTTCATCTTTTCTAATCCAACGCGTCATGCTGCAAATAACTTCTGTACCTAAAAGAGTCTGTAGTCTTCTATCTATGATCTTTTTGAACTGTACAAAGGTTTAGAAAAGCGGGATTTAGTTCACTTTAGTATTTTGAAAATAATACTTTCAACAATCACGCATAAGATAAATTGCTAACAAAATTGATTGCATTTTATATTTGTTTCATCCAATATTTCCTGCTTATTGATTGCTTTTTCTTTGGCTGCAAATCAATTTATCTTAATCAATGTTTCAAAGAAGGTTTTCCAATTCTGCCAATTAAATATAAAAATGGTATCAGAATTAATTGGCATTTTTCGGGAGCGCTTATAGCGCACTGAAAATATATACGCGCCCTGAAGGAACGAAATTGTCGGCCATGGATTTTCATCCTTTTACGTCCTTTTCATTTCATGATATCTATCATTTATGATTACGCAATATTCGAATTTTAATAAGTGAATCTGTTATCTTCTTCATTTGGTTTTCACTTAATAGCTGATTTATTACATTAAATTTTAACATTTTTCTTTATTTTTTATTCTCGCTTTCAGCTACTTCTGCATATTTCTAGATCAAGACTTGTTTATATTATCTCAATTATAACATGTCAAATAAATACAACTAAGGAACCAATAGGCGATTTTACAGATTTGTGCACAAAAAGCCCGCTTCTACCATACATACTAATGAACATTTCGCTGTCGCTGTTTTCATTTTATATTATTTTTTCTTAACACAAAATCGCACAATTGAATATACAATACACCATTAATCAATGACATGATAAAATACATATCATGTCTACACTTTGCCACTTATAATGAAATGTATCTTACAAAACACGATTGACTCATTTTTTACCGAGATGCTTAAGCAAATAATATTTTCATGAAACACGGGAGTCCCGTGATGGAAATTATTACTCTGATTTTTTAAAAATTAATTCTTCTATTACACACATCTATAATAATATGCTTGTTAGTTTATGAAGATCTCAGTCGTCCCCTGAATAAAATTGATCAATAAAAAAATTGCTTACGGTAGAAAATGCGTCAAATTCGGAGAACACCTAAAATTTCGTCAAGTACATGATGCACCCTAGATATTTTGCATATTTTTAAATCTCAAAACATCTGCAATGATTAAGGCTCTCAGGTTTTTTCGTTTACTAATACTTGCAGTTTCTGGTTGAAGTAACACAATGAACATACGCAATATATTTGGCTTGAAACAACGTCACAGACTGTGACTCATTGAAAGTTGTTTCAAAATCAAGTTTTCAAACACTCCAATACTCTACCAAATTCTTCCGACTGTCAATTTTCTCGTATGGGACCCCATGATATATATGTAGTATTATAAATTAATGAATCTTTCCTTGAGTACATATGAGGCTAGTAAAAAAAATCTTATAAAGTAACCATAGGTATGTGCAAACATAACTTTGATAGAATTTCTATTATAGAAAAGATGGCTGCACTATCTTCAAACCGTTCATCAACATTTATTATAACTGTTTACCTAGATTTCCATATAACAAAGTTTGGAAGTCTCCCTTCAAATAGGATTTGATTAGATTTGTTTTGAGATGAATAAATGATACGGTTGAAATAGATACGAAACAAAAATAAAGCAATCCATTAAAACGGAATATGGAAAAGAAATCCGTGAAAATGAAACATAGCATGCGCCGTTTTAAGAATTTCGCTTTGCGGTGTTCCGTTTTGATAGATTTTTTGTCTGCAGTGTCATTATGAACGAATCCTCTCGCATTGTTTCATATGAATGGATCTGTATCACATTGTTTCGTTACTCGAATATTTTTTCGAAAACAAGAACGTACAGGTTTCGGCAACGTTGCATTATAGCGAATAAGAATGAACGTAATGAGAAATGTAACGAGAATTTACGTTCATTCATAATCACTAGTGAAGCCACGTTGCCAAAACCTGTACGTTCTTGTTTCCTTACTGCGCACTACTTTTCTACGGTGAAGCAGACTGCTTTGTTGATGTGTATAACAATACGGGTAAAACACCGGCGCTCCGGGGTTTTCATACAAACTTCCCATGTAGACGATCCGAAACAGGCAAAAATCGAAAAAAAAGTTTAATTTTTTTTCGATTCTCATATAGTATTTTTTTTGCCCAATCCATTGGTGTTATCGCCATATCAAAATTCGCGCTCCTTATCACTTAATTTGCATCATATCTATTGACTAGATCGAGAGGAGAGTAAGTTCATCTGACTTTGTTATGAAAGAGAAGAGTAAGTTTCTTTCGACTCAAAAATGGTTAAAGGCGAGTATGTTCATTTTTGGCGGGTCCTCGCGGTTTTCCACGGTTTCCGCGGAACTGATTAGAGATAACAACTTGGTGTCTTCGGCAAAGTTGTAGCACTTGAGGTCTTCTATAACATTGTTGAAGTCAGTTATCTCTTATCTCTTATCAGTTCCGCGAAAAGCGCGAAAAATGATAAGAAAAAAAAGGTCTATATAAAATTTGCTTTTTTGTGTGCGCGATTTGCGCGCAACTGATAAGAGATAAGAGATAGATGTCTTCAGCAATGTTATAGAAGACCTCAAGTACTACAACTTTGCCGAAGACACCTTGTTGTTATCTCCAATCAGTTGCGCGAAAACCGTGAAGACCGCAGAGGCTAGACGGTACTACAACATACTCTACTTTAACGCCAACAGAATCATCAGAAAACATACTCTCCTCTTTTAAAATATAATATTAGAATTTTTTCACATACTCCCCTCTCGATCTAGTCAATAGATGTGATAAATGCGAGTGACGTCATCAATAGCTCGGGAATCAATTGAAATGAAACACACGAAAAAATATTCGAGTAACGAAACAATGTGATACAGATCCATTCATATGAAACAATGCGAGAGGATTCGTTCATAACGACACTGCAGACAAAAAATCTATCAAAACGGAACACCGCAAAGCGAAATACTTAAAACGGCGCATGCTATGTTTCATTTTCACGGAAGAAAAATCTGAGTTAAGAAGACTTTATTTTCATCATATTTTACATAGAAATAAGGCGCCTGGATCATTCCCCCTTCATTTGAACACAACGATTACAAAAAATAATATGTTTCTTCATCAATTGCTTGCTTATATCTTTGCATAAAGAAACCTTTATTCGAATGAGATTTTCTTAGTGTATACATATGTAGGGCCTACACTTATGTTTTTATTCTACTCTGCTGTTCAGTATACTGTCAAAATAAGCTTAATTAGATATTTGTATTTTTCACTTCACCAACACAGTCAACATCAGAGAATATTTCAATCATTACTTGTGGAAACAAACGTTTTGGATTATTTCTATTTTATTCGATTTCAAATGCACACTACGCTTGATTTGATAGAATTTGGAGCGAGTTGAACCAAGTATATTGGTTCGATTCAAAACTTTGAATATTTACATTAAAATCGCTGTTTGCAAAATAATACGTACAACACAGTTCAGTTTGAAAGAAGAAATGGCACAAGTGTGCTTCGAAGAAAATGCTTTTTGTGATTTTTTTTTTATCTATTGCTGTTTCAAAAAAAGACCTTCAAACAGGAAGCACTCATTTCCATATTATTTCAAGAGAAAAAGGTTCAATTTAGGTTCTAGAAAGGTAAGTAAGTAAAAAGTTTTACTTGGAGTTAAATGAGTTGCATTTCTAAACTTCACAAGTTCATGACCTTGAACACATTTCCAATTGATTTTAACAACAGAAGAAATCCAAAAACAAATTCATTATTTTTAGAATTATTGTGATGTTTTTGAGTACAGTTCTAGTAGTTTCGAGTAGTTTTTGTTTATTTTTGCATGACAACCCCAGTTTTTCTGTCACTCACCAATTCTCCTTTTTAGACGACAATTAAATTCACGTTTGTAAGATTTTTGTACACATCCCGTTTTGTATATAACAATTTTGCATTGAATTTTGTTTTGTTGAATTTCAAATTCGAAAAAAATAAGTAAAAAGTGATTTTCGCATTCCTGTAAAATAATAGCAGTGTAAATAAGTGTTTAAATTCCTACCTCTTAAAAGTTAGTGATATAATATATAATACAATTAATTATTGTTAAATCATATTTTGTAAAGTGTGCACAAGGACGTTCGGCCTGGCAGCTGGAACGTGGACGGCGTTGCAGCGTTTCTGAAAATCCAGCTTCATGCCATCGACGATGGGTAAAACGTAATCGGGTAAGCAATATAAACTATATTATAACTACAAACCAATTGCCACAACTCTTTGACCTTTTGACAGCCAACTTTAAAATTTTCTAAAAGACGCTTCTGGTTCAGCTAAGTGAATTTTAGTTTTGGTGTAACTGATTGTTCGGTGTACTCAGAAGTAAATGAGTCGTATTCGGATTTGTCGAAAAAACTATCAATTTTTTTAGACGAAATTGTTTTTTACTCTCGATGATTTTGTAGTAGGGTTTAAAAATGCGTTATTTTTTTCAGTGTTTCTTAAAAACGTTTTTTTACAGAGCCGTTATATAACGCCCAAAAAACGTTTTTTTCGTTTTTTATCGTTATTTCTGCGGTATTTTGGACTGTCAAAAAAAACACTACAGAAAAATAACGTTTTTATAACACCGTTTGCGGTATTTGTCGAAACGTTTGTAAACCCTATTTTGTAGTAGTAGTATTTAGTTCCCAATAAAAGAGTTGTCATGAAGTTTCTTCTAACCAGTAGAGTTCGGATACTGTCAGACGCTGATTTTCAAATGCCCACGCGCGTTCGATAGGTCATCCCTCAAAACCTTCAAAACCAAATTTTTAGCTCCCCTAATGCACTGGGGTGGTTTTTATGGGGGTAAATCGGTTTTTGGGGTGAAAATCGTGTTTTTTTCACATATTCAGGCATTTTTATCACGGAAAAGTGGTTGGGAAGCTATGGTGTTGTTTTTTGGGAACAACTAATTAAACAGCTTTTTTCTGTCATCAAGAGCTACAAATTTGCCGAATACTTCATGACTGAAAAACAACACCTTGTGGGTCAAAAGTCCTTTAGTACTAAATTTCCCTTATACGAATATGTTAAAATAAGTCCACGATGTGTAACCTCAGTGTCCATCTTTTAAGGGAGTAAATATTTAGGATTGACATGTTCAACAAAGTTGTAGCTCTTGATGATTAGAGTAAATTTGGCCAAATCATGAAGTAAAAATAATTGACAATTTCTGAGTTATAACCTCAAATGTCAAATAAATGGCGCCATCTTGATAGCAGCTGTCATACTTTCATGGCTGTAACTATTGAAGTACATAGAATATTGGATTGGTTGTTATTGCGTTTTCTTGGTCTACACTCAAGCTTTCAAACGCATTTTACTATGCCTCAATATCTTCCTTGGTTCAAGAATTATTTGCATATGTTGAAGATGACAAAATTGAAATATGATAAAAAAGTTTGACCGCCTCCATTTCCCAAACAACGGGTCGGTGGAGCAAAACTTAAATAGCATTTCGAACCTTCGCAAGGTTGTGCATCAAGCTGTGTCACTAGGTCTCAGTTGTCATAAAAGTTAATCCGTTTATTGAAATATTTAAAGAACTGTCCTCTCAATTTTGTCCACTGCTAAATTGACATCGGTTAACATTTTTGAAAAAAATCACGAAATTCAAAATTATTCAATAAAATCCTTCTAGAATCTTTTAGCTCACATTATTCTGCAATAAATGGAACAAATGTTTGAATGATAAAAACGAATTATGCCCATGAAATAATCATTGGTACATTTTTTTTTAGTTTGTCCTCTCAATTTTGTCCATGACTGTATATCACATATGTGTGCCGGTGCCGTTTGAGTAGTGAAAAATGGCTGCGTACTTGCAGGAGGACCATTTTTTGATCTTTCGACCTCGATTTAAGGTCGATGGGAGTTTTATATCAAGTTGAAATATTCTCCATATTTATAGAATTTTTTACGAGCTACCCGAATATGCAATTGGTTTTGGGGGTAAGGGGGGTATTTGACCCTATTTTGACCCAAAATTAGTGATTTTTAGTGATTTTTCGACTTTTGAGACCCATCCCACCCCTCCAAGGTAGAGGGCAGCCCCAAATAAGGTATCGTTGGATTTTTCGGAGTATTTTGAATAAATCATCTGAACACACCATAGCTCTCCAACCACTTTTTCCGTGATAAAAATGCCTAAATATGTGAAAAAACACGATTTTCACCCCAAAAACCGATTTACCCCCATAAAAACCACCTCAGTGCATTAGGGGAGCTAAAAATTTGGTTTTGAAGGTTTTGAGGGATGACCTATCAAACGCGCGTAGGCATTTGAAAATCGGCGTCTGACAGTATCCGAACTCTACTGGTAAGCAATATTGAATTATTATGCCCATTGTTATTTTTTTTTCACGATTGCAGATACACGATTCATCATTAGGCTCATCAGATGATGATGATTTCTTGGGCGCACTGAGGGGACCCAGTTCGTTTGCAAATGCTTTCCTATACGTGGGCCTGGGCACAGTTGCCCTCGGTTTAGTTATAGTGTTTGTAGGAACCGGTGAAAAGGGCTTCAAAACAGTTGAACTCAGATTAATTGGACCATCGTTGATTGGTAAAATGAAGTTATTCCTTATCTTGATGTATGATAATAATAGTAATAAATTTCAAACAATTGAAACAGGTATCGGGTTACTTTGTTGCATACTTCGAATATTCTTTTGCATTTGTCCGTCAAATTGTATATCATCTAATCGTCGAAAAATGAAACAGAAAAACGCAAAAGTCGATGTTGATCATACGACATCATTGCTTTGTGCTGACAATAAGCGGGTGTCGATAGCACGAACGGCACAGGTCTGATAACAATACACGTTTCTGAATAACAATAATAATAATGAATAAAAACTCATTTTCTCTCAGACGCAATATCCGCAAGAGGCTCTAGACTTCTTGAAAAAACATCCAAATAGCAAGATGAATGAAGGAATGGAAACTCTGCGAGAAATTGCAACCACTTCATTGTTTTTACAAAGTGAAAAGAACAACTTTACTTCAGGTACATTATGTGCAAGTGTATGCATAAAAAATAAATGATAACTTACAACAATTTAAAATAAAATTCCCCTCGGAAGGGAAAGGGATTCATTTTCATTCATTTCTTGCTCCATCAGTTAGGGTTTTCGAAGCACAGCTGGTCCGTAGATTTTGCCTGTTTCAAAGGTTATTGGCCGAAAATTGTGTTTTGTGTTCTGCAGGTCTTAGTCGATCACACGTGTGCAAGGGAGGGGGTATTCCGGTTTTACCCCCCTCTAGGATTCCAAAATGTGGACCCACCCTCGAGCGATTTGGAAAATTTAACACTAGATAGAATCGATTTTCAAAAGTGAGGACCTTTTTTTTAGGTCTTCATTTTTTTCTGACACCCATTTATAAATTTGCAGAGACCCCCAATTAAAAAATGCCCCCCCCCCCCGGCAAAATCGTTTTATCCCCCTCTAGAATTTTTGACCTTGCACACGTCTGAGTCGATCATAAATATAGGCGTCCGTAGAGAATTGAGCTGCAAGCAATATATTAAATCGAAAACAAGATCTGCTGGAGTGGAACCACGAACATCAATCTCAGGGGATTTTCACTAATGTTATAGATAACACATATTGCGTCGAGTCAACGTTATCAATTCATTCATATTTTTGTCTGACAAAAATCTCTTTTCGACAGCAATAGATCCGAGAAAGAATGAAGAGAAGCTGGAAGTTATAAGCATTAGCGATGAAGAAGAAAATGGAGCATTAGTAAAGTTAAATCACAATTTTCACGGAACAGCTTCTATATTGGATGCAGCAATAAAAACACCAGACACATCATTTGTGTTAGAGCCAGTGCGAGAAGAACAAACACGACCGAATAAATTATCTAGATCACGGGCACCTTTGAACCAACAGAAATGTAAAAACACAAGCAGTACGAAGATTGTGCTATCAACAATGGATGAGACATCATTGACTTCAACCGGACATAACGAAAATGATGTAGGCTATGCTAGTACCACATTATCATTGGTTCCTTCTCAACCATTGGTTCCTTCCTTATTGGTTGATGGTAATTCGTTAGCATTAAACAGAATGGACACAATAAAGCCTACACAAGCATCGACGACACAATCAGTGGTAACTTCATTTGCCAGCAGTTTTGAGCCCGAGCTTGTTCTTAGCCCTGCAAAATTAGGCCAATAATTATATGAAAAAAAATAGTGGATGGTATTTGAATAATAACTAAATATTAAGAAAATTTTTAATAATAATGAGACTGTATGATAAATTTAAACCATTTAAATGCGAAATCGAATTGCTTAGACGATATATCATACAAATAACTTTGAAAATTTGACACAGAATAATTTGGCACATCGATTGAAAATAAGAAGATGAAAAGAAGTCGTTCTAATGAATCTTCTATAGTTTTCTGCGAGAGTCTCCAAGATCAAATATGTTGGATTCCATGTTTTTTTCGTAAAACAATTTCTTTAGAACTTGAAAGCAAATATTGAAATTTAGATTTCGCTAAATTTGGAAATTGTATGAGTCTATCATCTATGTTAATTCGATGATATTTCTTTCTGTTTAAACAATGTGTTCCAACTAGTTTTCTTACTCAAATCTTGTATTGGATTTTTATATTTATTATTTTCTGTTCTTTTTATGTTGAAGCCGAAGAACTTTTCTAATTGACAATCATGAAGAACCTTTTGGTTGAAATAAGATTTTGAAAAGAATGTATTTCTGTCCGAAAGTGCGATTTTTTTAAGCAATCCTGTTAATTTTTTCAAAGAAGCAAGGATTCTTTATTCGCACATATCTCAAATGTTTCAATTGAATATGATTTTTTTTTTAATTTTCGTTTATATCATTTTAATTCTCTTTCTATCTATCATTCCCGAAACTTGATGAAATTATTACTAATTGAAGAAAATTGCAGTAAAATACATATTCGGGCATCCAAAATAAAGTTGATCGCTTACCACAATAAAATAGAAATTGTATTTTGTACACACATGTAAGTGAAGTGAATTGTAATGAAAATTGTTGTTAAAAAAATCTTTTGTTTTTCTTTCTATGTTTGAAAAATCTTACGAACCTGGAATTTGTTAAGTCTTCAGATGAAGAGAAAAAGCACACTTACTTAATACTTTCAATTATTTATGTTTATTATTCATTATATTACATTTCTTTTTAACGGTTTTTGGGATAGGTGAAAACGTTGCTTTTCGTAAAAAAATTTAATATTATTAATAGATTTTGATTAGCTTGGGAGATAACCAATCAAAGTCTATTAGTTTCGAATGTCTTTTCTTTTGATATTTGTGAAATTTTGTTTTTCGTTTTAGTTTACACACTTTATTTGTGTTGCATCGACGTCGTGTAAAAAATGAATAATTTTCCTTAAACTCTTGCATAAGGCTGATACATGTGTATTTTTTACGAATACATTGTTTTTGTTCGTTTTTTTTTCTGATTGTTCTATATTGGGGGCGGTTGTTGATGTCGCAGCATTGGTTCTAGACTGTATGCGAAATTGTTACTGAAAATGCAGGAATACTCATCACCGTGGGGCACAAGTGTGGCAAAACCCAAGAAGAGTAGCATCAGCGCTTGAATGGGCAGTGAAGCACGAAGTACGCGACCCATAAAGCGATAGCCGCGAGACAAGACTGTGGTGTTGATTTCTTCTGTTCTTTCGTTGCCGCTGTAGATATCATCAAGTTATAAGTTAATAAAATCACAGCAAAAATAATAATTGAACAAATAACAAATAAAACTGTCCAGAAAGTGGAGCATCCATGAAGAATTATTTAAATTCATTAAAAAATATATTGATTTCTGGAATAAAAAATATTACACGAAAGGTAAGCATAAAACTTCATACTTTGCATTAATATAGCTATCAGTGGAATGTGCGATGGCCATTTGTGACGGAGAATGGTAGGTACCAGTATGCTCCAACAGCTGTTTTGCGAAAAAAAATAAAGAAAAAAAAAATAATCCAAACAATTCCAAACTTCAACATACAATCAATTTCTTTAAAATAACAACAACAATAATAAAATATAATAATAACCAAACGGCCATATTATACCAATTAAAATTGAAGAGTGAAAATTTTTCCATTGTGATTTGTGGACAAATCTACTTGCTTTTTACTTTGCCTAATACTACACCTACATTACTGAACTAATATTTTCTTAAAATGTCAAATATGAGCATGTTCATATAAGATTCTATTTTAATGCGCTACCTCTTGTGATAATACGTGTAGGGGGGTGGTTCCAGTGGCCGTATTCGTCAAGGTAATACCCAAGTGACTTGAATCATATCCAAGCACTGCACCCAATTTTACGATATACACTCCGGTTAATCTTCGTAAAGATTGTAAACGCAGTCGCAGATCGGTCAATCTGGAAGGTAAAATAAAAAAATGACTTGTGCTATTCGTACAAGTAAAAGAAAAATTTAAATTACCTGTTGTAAACAAATGATTGAGATTCATCTGATTTGAGGATTTGATCGGCAGCTTCCTGAAGGCCAATCACACGTGGCTCACATCTTTCTAGCTCATTGCGTAGTTCACGGAATTTAGTGAATTTCGCTTCCAAAATACTTCTGTCTACAGTCAAGTCAACTGGCTCGGATGCGTGGATGATTGATTCAGTATGCTCTAGCCATTCACATAGCTCATCGATGATTTGATGAAACTGAGTGTTGCTCATTAATGCTGTTTGAAGGCTAGATTGCCATTTTGTTGTACGTTTACAGATATTTTCCCATCGGCTATTGTCGGTTTGTAGTCGCTCACGCAATTGTTTTGCTCTCTCAGTATCGAGCGTATGGGTGACAAGATGATCTCCTACAACATTTAGTGACTTAACAATCGACTTGTGACTTTCCAAATCCAGCAGAAATTCGCGATGGTCAGTAATAACATCCTCAAGTGCTTCGATGTTACTTGGCGGCGATGTTTGTAACTTCTGTGTTCCTTCTGCAAATTGAAGCCATTGTTCCAGTCTCCAGAGATCATTATCGATCTGGCTCCAGTTGCGTTCAGAACATAAGGGGCACGTTAAACGTCCACTCTCACTGAAATATTGAAGAGATAGTATTGAAATATTTGGTTTAATTGCCATCAACAAAAATTATTATTTTCATTTTAAGCATGGATAAGCAAATTGCAATAATGGAATATAAAATGGTATAGTTTTTTTTTCAGGTTTTTGGTTATTTCAGTTAGTCATTATAGAGTAAGCACTAGCAGAAAATTGCAATCAGGTTAGTGTTTTTTTGTATGTAGAAAAATGAAAATCAATTAATACTTACTGCGGGCAGTTAAAAATGTAAGAGGCGGTAAATGACCTGTTTTCCATGTAGTAAGCAAATGTTTGCATGAGAGATGATTCAATTATTATTGATTAGAAAGCGAAAGAAAGTCAATTGATCAGGGTATTTAATAAGTTATTCAATCAAATTGGGACTGGTTGCATTTGATTTAAAATTCAAAACAAGAATTCTCACAAAACGAAGATAAGGAACAAAACCAAAAAGATGAATCCCATAATCCAAAGAACGAAATAAAGTACCTGTTTTCGAGTTGTCGTTCTTTTGACTTCCATATCGTTAGCAGTGTTTCATATCGCGAAGTTGCATCGCCAATATCTGATACTGAAGCCTCTTCGTCTGAGCAGAAACATTCCGTAATTAGGATGTTACTCAAATGATGTAATAGTTCAACGGATGACTGACAATTCGAGCATAGTTTCTGAACAACTTGTGAGCCGGGTTTCCTGGCGGAATTATTGACCTCCATTTCCAATTGATCTAAATATTCTCGACACTCTTTGAGTGCAGCCTGAAGTTCATGTTCGTATGCGTCCTTTGGGGTGATTGATGTGGTTCGATTTAATGATGGTAGAGTAGAGAGAGGTAGAGTGTTAACTTGTACCGCTGAATCAGTTTCCGATCGATAATTTTGTTTCTCTTGAGTGATTGTAGTTGTCAATTTGGTTTTCATTAATGCAATTCTGGTGGTGACATCTGTCCAAAGTAACTGGTATTCATCGATCATTGCCTGAATTTCGTCTACGCCATTCTGGTCAGATTTTTGCATTATTACCAAACCCAATTCATCCGCAGATGTAAGGTCACTTTCACAAAGCTTCAACTCGTGTTCTAATACTTGAATTGATTGCAGCTTCTCTTCTGGTTTCGTTTTTGTGAGATGCTCTGTTTTCGTTAACTCGGCATCAAGGCGAGTGAGCGTCACAACCGATTTTCCATGTAAATTAATGAACTTTTGATGTAATTTCATATCGTTATTAAGTTCACCGATAATATCGAGAGTTCGTGGTGTTAGTGTTTCAAAGCGGCCTAGTACCTGTTTGCATCGATTGGCCAGTTCTTGAATGTTGGAGGGATCGATTCCATGGCATTTGACTAATTTAGAATAGGATTGGGACAAACATTCAAACTGTGGCTGATGATATTCAATTTCTCTGATTTTATTTTCAAGAGCACCAATCCGTTGTTCCACTTGATCTTTTGTGAGTTTATCGATATCCTTCTCTAATTCATCTAAATCATTTTTTTGGTCAATGGTCCATGCATCTAATTCATTTGCTAACGAGAGAGACTCCGACAATAACGACCAGATTGCATGAATTTTTTGTTTTCGCTCAACTGATGCATTACAGACATGTTTCCACCGATGGTCTAAGGTTTCGATGGCTGTTGATAGTGCATTGGTGTCAATGTGCGATTTCCATGTGTCCACATCACTCAAAACCATTTCACACAAGTTCAGCACCTCACCGACTCCTCCACTCTCTTTTTCAATTGATCGCTGAATTGCATCGTTTTCTTGGACAACTTTTTCAAGTGCTTTGTCTTCTGACGAATCAAAAACTATCGGTTTATTTAATTTGACATCGAAATTGTGCAACACGGCACGAACCGCAGCAATTCTATCTTCTATTCGAATTATCGTCATTTTTAGCTCTTGAATTTTGTTCGATCTCGTCTTGGAAATGGATCTCAGTTTTTCCCATCGATCTACAGTAATGTCAAGTTTCTTCTTAATTTCGACACGATGATGTTTGTCGTTTTCATTTGATGTTCCATAAAATGTCAACAATTCACGACCCGTTGACAACAACCAATCTTTCTCACGTTCTCTCAATGCAAATTCGGATCGCAAATCTGTTTCAAGACGTCTCAGTAGCTCTTCGGAATCATATAGAATACAACATGACTCATCGAATAATCGACGCTCTGTTTCATCTATCCATTGCATGAATCGATCGTATTTTTTGGCGAATGTATCGGATATGTTCAAACGATCATCAATGTTTGTTATTAATGAAGTTAATTGCGAGTCCAGATCAGCCTGTTGTTGCCACAATGTATGAGTCGTGCGTCTAATTGCCTTTATATTACTTGTGTCCACAATTTCTTTAAGTTCCTCTTGAATAACTGTAATGGATTCCAATTCTGGTGTTAAGTTACTAATCAGAACTCTCTGGCCTCTCAGTTCATCTAATGTTTTCCCGATTTGATTCACATTTTGTGGTGTTGCTCGTGTCGTTATGCAAATAACATTTTGCGATTGTTGAAATTGTGCTTGCAACTCATTGACTTTTTGATTGTATGTGGCGGACAAATTGGATATTCTATGTAGAAAGTCTCTCCAAGTCTCCAGTGAAGCTCTTAGATTTTCTATACGTTGTGAAATGGCACCGATCTCCATTCGCATCGATGTAATCATGGCACTGTCGTTGCTGAATTGAATAATTTGAGCTTGTTCCGACCTTAAATTGGTGCAATCACTTTGAGCTTGTTCCATTTGCACCAACATATTTTGAATAACTTGTAAAATGTGCGGAATCCGTTGCAAATGAATATACCGAAGCTGTAAGCGTGACTTTTCACGCTCCTTTTCTTTAAGCCATAACAACAAATTGCTTTGATCATTTTTATATTTGTTCCATAGCTTCAGTCTTAGCTCGATTTCAGCATGACGATCAATTATCCGCAACAATGTTTCATTGTGTAACGTTGACAACTGTTGGAATTTTTCATTCAAACCCGGATCGATATTGCCGGACAAAATTGCCTGTTGACTAGTCAGCACGTTTTGATGAATTTCGCATAAATTTCGATATTCGTTTAGATAGCCGTAATTGTCGGGAAGCGCTTCTGACAGAAATAATTGTACGTGCATTAAATAATCATGCCACAAATTCAATGCAGATTCTCTGTTTTCGCTTTGTACTAATCGTGTTGACAAACGATGGTATTGTTGGAATGTGTCACGGAATATTTGTTGCCACAATTCTAACACTTCAATTATTGATAGTTCTGTCTCTGATGTACTGTCAGCCACCCGATTTCTTAGTTCATTCAACTGCCCTTCTGTACGACCCAGTGCCAATAATTGCGAACGGAGCGTAATTAATCGTTGCTCAAACTCAGTCTCTTCCGGCTGATCGATTGCCTAAAACATAAATTTTGATTAATGACAAATTTGCTAGCAAATTTGTTTGTAACTAATTATCTTGCAAATTGAACTTACGGCTTTCATTTCACTCAAATTTTCTTTGACATCTTGAATGTTTTTTTTACACTCCGTTTCGTTATTGCTGCGAGCATCTGCAATATCAGCCAAAAGTGAAATAGATTGACGCACTTTTTCTAGCCGAGAACCCAACTCTTCTACTTCGTCTTGAAGTAGATTGTTATCAGATGTATTCAACTCCATCTCTGTTGCTATTTCAAATGCCATTTTACGAAGATTCTCCACTTGTTCGGTATGTTCCAGCAAGTCTTTCTTACAAGCCTAGCACGATTGAAGAAAATTTCGTTTACATTGCATTAATTCATTTCTAAATAATAACTAAAACACATATTTAAACACCACAGTTCGGCAAACAAAACAAACAACAATATTGGACTGTCAAACGTTATTACTACTCTTGACACGGTATACGCGCTTACTACCTACTACAACAACGATAACAAGAGTAAAATAAACACTCATGTTTCATGTAGATAACGGTACAGATATGTCAGATATGTCTCTTAACGTTTGCTTTAGTGATTTCCAGAAATATGACATTTGTGAATGTTGAATAAAATTCCGAAATTACCTCGATTGCTATTGCATCTAGTGGTTTCATTACGTTGATCGTACCCAGTCGGTCGGCTGCCCAGTTTTTGATTGCATCACTGCTGTTACGATATTTTTGCCACAAATCAAGAGCTCGGTCGTATTTATCTCGCAGATTTCGTATACTATCGTTGGTGTTTTTCCATTCACTCTCGGCTACTTGAACTGATTCATTAATTTTCTGTACAACGTCCGGGCTAGACGTTTCAATCAAAACTTTGGCTGATACTTGCAATTCTTCCAATTGTTTTTCATTGACATTATTCGTAAATGCCTAAAAAATATGAAAAAATAAGTATATACACAGATTAATATAAATACGGAAAAACTGTAGCGAATATATTTATAGAACGAATTAAACAGAATTTGTATTTTCAACCTTATGAGACGTACGACTAAGTTAATTCTCAAATCATTACTAAATTCCTACGTTCTTTTTTTGCTTTTATTTACACAGTTGGCTGTGTAAATTTATTTACTCTCTCCCTCTCTTACTGCGAACGGAACATGTATTGATTCGTTATTTCGAAAACTTTTTTTATTCCCATTACATTTTTTTTACATAGAGTAGAAAGTTTCTGACTATTTCTGCGAGCATGAATGGAGTGTGTACTCTATTATCGCAATTAGCTTATTCGATTATCACATATACTTTTATCTCGCTCTCATTCCATTATTGCGATTAGTATGAAACACGAATCGGGAGTTTCGCATATGTGCTGTCTATGTTTCTCACAAGCTAGCGTATCAACGGGCCAAGTAGAAACACAACGAGCAAGTGATATCATATTTAAGGATTTTCTGCCTAATCAACACATTCATACACAATGTATTTCATTTAAATTGTTTCGTATATAGGTTTATGGACGACCTACTTTTTTTAGTAAAATAACTCTATCTATACAAGAAAAAAACACATGGTAATGATTTGTTTATTTTTGAGAGAAAATCCAAAACTTTTGAAACTACTTCATAACAACTATGTTTGGAAATTCGGCGAAAAAAATACTGATTTGACTAAAGATTGAAATATATATTTTGAAATGACATACCTCTAATCGTTCTGTAGTTCTTTTTAATCGATCGTAATCCATTTGACCGTTAAGCTTCAAAAGATCAATCATAAATTCGTTTTCGTTGTTGGTTTGCTGCACAATTTCCAATTGCCGCTCGAATCTTCGCCATAAAGCTAAACGATTTCTCAGTAGGTTTAATATGTGCGCGCAATGAGATTCTTGTTCATGATGTTTATCTTGTAGCTGAGATAGATCGCGTTCCAGTTTAATTGGTGACATAGATACTTTGAGTTGCATTGGCAATGTGTGGAGGATTTGCCGTAAACGCATATTTCCTTGCCATTGATTACTTAATTCGTTCGTTAAGTGCTCTGCATCAACAATTGCCAATTCAACTTGATCGCTACTGAGTTTTTCACGAGATTCACAAGATTCTAAGATTAACTCGTTGCTTTGCTGTGCTTGTCGCAATTTCTTTATTCCATTCTGGAGTGCAATCAGTATTTCTTTCAGATTTTGTGCATTTTCTATTTCTTTAGCAACTGGAGTACTGATATTATGGGCTAATGCGAAAATTTCACCAATTTTCTCGGGATCGTGTGATGGCAACAAACTTAAACGTCCCAATTCATTGAACGCTATACTCAAACGATTGTTCAGAACTTGCATCCGTTCGATGTATACGTTCAGCTCCTCTTCGTTTTTGATAATTGTTTTCACAGATGACGTTAATAGCTCCACTTCATGCAGTTCTCTTCGCAAAATTTCCAATTTCTCATCGATTGGAATATTTTGGTCGAACAAACTGGTAACGATAATATTTTGAATGGCTTCAATTTTCCGGGTAATATTTGCCCATCTTTCTTCTAGCTGTTGATGAAATTGGCGTTGCAGTAATTCATCACGCACCGGAAGAATTTCGATTGATCGCTCCAATGAATTTCCAATTTGTTTTCGAACTTTATTATTTACTTCATAGTGCACACGAATTTCCCAGAAGTGTCGTGTATTTTCGCTTGGCTGTAATCGTAGATTAGCCGGTATTTCAATTTGAGCAAGTTCACGTTCCGTTCGCAGCATCCAATTTTCGAGGCGATCAGTTGATGTTTCATATATCGTCCAGGTATCACGGAACATTATCAAGCGTTTTAGATATATCGATAGATCTTCTCTCAATTTTAGGCATGTTGCCAAGCAATCGTTGGCTTCCTCCTGCAATGTTGGAGTGCTGACTGAATCTTGTAGTTGGGTAGCCAAATTGGTTAAATGCACAATACGTGCATGATGTTGGTTGATGTCTGAGCATATTGATCTATACATGGTAATATACCGTTCATGATCAACAGTTGAAACTTCTGATAAATCTGGAACGCGTTGCTGTGCTACAGTTAACCATTGTTTTTCGTCTGTAAGGCCTTTTTCAAGTACTGTCCAACGCGACGCGGCTAAAGAAATGCGTTGTGCTCGCTCAGATGCTTTCTCTAATATTTGCGCGGCTTTGTCTGTCAACGATGTGTGCAATGTATTATGTTGTTTTCGCGTTTCACTGTCGATATTCTCGCCTAATGATTGCAAAATCATTCGGCAATGACTTAAATTGACAAAGCATTTACGATGCTTCTGCATTTCTTGTTGCAATTCCTCCAAGCTGCTGGCATTTATTGGCTGATCCACGAGTGATTCCGTCAGTACAATTATTTGAGAGAATTGGTGGAGAGTTTGTACATACTCTTCGGAAAGATCTTGCAATTGCAGTAGTCGTGTTTTTTCAAGTGCAATCGAATTCTCCAAGTTTCTTGCATTTTCATACAATGCATAGACATCGACCGGCATCGGACGACTTGGAAAATCACGTAATATTCCGCGTGCCCTCTGCATGGCATTGGTAATTTCATCTATTTGAGTCCCTAGCAGAAGATCAATGTTGTCCAAATTTTCTAATCGTTTGCCAATTGGAGAGTTATCTTCGGCCTTAGTGGCTTCAAATTGATTTTGTAAGTCATAGATTTTCATATGTATCGATTCAATTATCAAAATGAATTCGTTCATGCGATGCAAATCATAATGAACTTCGTTACTGCTTTCTTTTGTAACATTAGAAACAGCATTTAATTGGCTCTTCAAATTGCCTAAGCAGTTTTTCATTTGAATTTGTTCGGTTGGCTCATTTATTTCAACTGTTTTTTCGAGTTGTTTATTAAGACTGTTTATGACAGATGAAATTTCACCCAGTTCACCAAGGAGTTTATTATGCTCTTGTACTTTCTCTTCACTTGGTCCTTCACTCGAATTTTGACGATTCAAATAAATGCGGTATTCAATTTTCTCAAGCCATGTCGATATCTCTTCAATTATGTGTATCACAGTTTCGTGTATAGCCACAGTATTCCTTGTTTCAGCTGCATCATTTAACTTGGATAAATTATTGTCAATCGACACAACGTGTTGCCCAATTGATTCTGGAGTTACAGTTTCACTCAACGATGTTAGGTGTAATACGTTGCTTAAGTGTGCATTTTGAACATTTTGTGTATTTTTAATACGATCAGAAATGACCTGGTTTGTATATTGCCATTTTATATCATCCACGCTTGTGGGCTCAACAGCCGCTTTTTCCGCTTCGTTACGGTCATCAAATTCAACGCCTGTAAAATAGTTTTAGGAAAATGAATTATTTATTTTTGATTGTTCATTTGGAATCTTGTTCTGATTTTTTAAATTACCTTGTGTAAATGGTACGTCGACATTTCCATCCGAGACTACCTCTTCAATTGTTACGGAGGAACCATGGGGACGACGCACTCTTGTTAGCAAATCTGATGTTTCATAAACTGTTGTTTTTGTTATTTTCAATGTGGCAAACGCTTTTTGTTCTGGTTGATCCACTTTTCCGACTAATTTTTCATTATCAACTGTTGAAGCTTGTTCAACAACAGTGCTTTGACCTGGCTCTGCTGTATCAACCGCTTGAGATTTCTTCTTTTTCTTTTTCGATTTTGATTTTTTGACTTTCTCCTGAGATGTTGATTCAATTTCGCGCACTAAACCTGGTTGGGTTTCATCAATTACATATGATTTTTGAATTTCGGTAGTATTCGATGTCGTTGCATCGTCGGGAACGATGAATGAAGCTTGAATGTGGATTTCATAGGGCTCCAATGATACATTACCGCTAGAAGCGTCTTCTTTGGGTGATACTTCGTCTCTTGGTGTAGTCTGAGTAATACCTTCATCGGTTTTAACGGTTTCTGTTGTTGTTCCCTGTGTTTCCGTTGTTATACTAATCGGTATGCCACGAACAATATCTTGTACTAGATTTTCGGCAACATGAGGTACTATCTCGATAGCTGATATATTCTGGTCCTGGGGCTTCAAATATTCATCTCGTGGCGATGTCTGTAAACTTTTGTCTTGCACTGATATGTCGACTTGCATAGATTGTTCTACTTTCTCTGCGTCTAATGCATCAGTTTGTACCTTTTGAGAAAAAAAAGAGAAATAATTCCCATTTAAATAATGTAGGAGCTATCGTCTTATAACATGACTTCAATATTCAGTACAAAATATACCTACCTCTTCATTAGTTTTTTCAACCTCATTGATGTTATCGATAATCACGTCGGATACTATCAAATCTGGGCTAGTTTGTACTTCGATATCAGTGAATGTCTCTTCTTTTACCGGAGTGGTTTGAAGCTCTTCATCAACAAATACTTTTTCTTTTTCTGGAGTGGTTTGCATCGATCTTGAGCAGACATCTTTTTGGGCAATTATGTGTTCAACATCAAAAATTTGGTTTGTTGGATCGGTTTGTTGCTCAACATCCATCGTATTTTGTTCCTCCAAGACTTGAGAAGCTACAATAACTTCGACTCCCAGAGGTTTGGGTGAGCTGGATGATGTTGATATCACATTCTCTTCCAGTATTTTAACTGGAGCCTCTAAGTCTGAAATGGATTTGTATGATTCAACAGAACTTAATACCTGCCCATTACTCATCATAAGTTGTCCGGAATTGTCTGTTGGAATTGGTGTAGCTTCGATTTCTGGCATTTCCATTTCATCCGTTATGGTATTATCATCACTAATGTGTAATTCAGTTGATTCAGCCACAGAACGGTCGATTGGTTCAATTAATTCCGTTGTTTGTAATCGTTCTTCTATTAAATTAACATTCAATTTTGGTTGTTCAGATGAATCCAATTTCATTTTAACTGTAACGCTGCCTGGAGACGATGGTTCTTTTGGCGACATTCTTAGTTTCACTGTTCTTGTGGTGCCATCTGATACATTTAGTTCATGCTCGATGAAAAGTTGTGTTGCCGATCGTACGTCTATAATTTTAGATGTTGGCTTTGGTGCAGGTTCTTTGTCTTTTGGTTCAATACTTTGGGAGTCAGTATCGCACTTTTCTATTACAATCACGGGGTCAATTGGCTCTGGCTGAATCAACGTCTCATGGGTTGAATCAACGACAGTAACATTCTCCTCACGCTTAGTACATTCTGTAGGTTTTGTTTCAACTATCACAATATCTTCAACCAGTACTATATTTTCTATCGATGGTTGTTCGTCCGGTTCACTTTGGATCTCATCATCAGATTTCTTATTCTCTTCTTTTGTTTCCTTACTTACTTCAATGGAATACGTTTTCTCTGATGGATTTTCGGACGGTGGTGATTTTGAATGATGAATTATTTCATCGGGCGGTGTTTTCACTGCGGTGACAACTTCAAAATCGAGTCGAGATATTTGAGAACCACGAGGAATTTCGTCTTCCGTCTCTTCAATTTCGTATTGTTGAGGAAGAACTTGTTCAGAAATTTCTTCAATAGCACAACCTTCACTTGGTTCGAGTAATTTACTTTCTTGTTCCGATTGTAAACTAGCTTCTTCTTCTTCTGAAGAAGACTTTTGTGTTTTTTTGTTCTTTTTCTTTTTACGTTTATTCTTCTCAATTGAATAGGTCTTTTGAGATGGTTCCTCAGCAATGGAGTGTTGTGATTCCTGACTTAACTCAGCTTCTTCCGAGGATACATACTCTATTTTTGGTGGAGAGGCTTGAAGCTCACGTTCGGCTTCAATTTGTTGTCGTGAACACTCACTTTCTTCTTCGTGTGAAATGTCGGCCTCAGTTCTATCACTGACTGTTTTAGTAGATGGTAATAGCTGTTGTTCAAATTCGTATGTTTCTAACGTTATATCATGACCTGTTTTTTCATTGGTTGGCCACATGTCTTTAGATGGAAGGGAATCATGAGGTGATGGCTCTAAATCTTTTGATAGGGCGGTAACGTGGGGGTATTTGTGAACTGACAATGTAATTTGCGATGGCTCATACTTTGGCCATATTTCATCGATATCTTCAATAATTTCTTCATTCTGTATCTCCGCCTTTTGAATATCGTCATCCAATTTGTCGTGCTTCAATTTTGAGTTGGAATTGATTTCAATCGTTTTTGCTGGAAGTTTAACCAAGTTTACATCACCTACAGTCGTGATGGACAAATCAGCAACTACTTGTGTATTGTCAACCAAATCTACTGGTGCAGGTTGTTCAAAAGCTGAGAATACCTGTGAATTTTCTTCATCTTTAACCTTTTTAGACGCACGTACTTTTTTACCCTTGTTTTGTTTGTCAGTTGTTTTACTATCGCTTATGATCACCGGTTCGTTTACGATTTGTTTCTCTTCCAGCTGCACACTCTGTTCATCTGGAGGCATTTCAATGATTGGCGATCGGGTGTCCGGAACATTAGAAAATTCAACATTTATATTCACACCTGGGGCGTGGTCTTCAGTAATTTCAACTTCTTCTGGTTCTTCTATCACCTCCTCCGTTACATGTTCTTTACCATCAATGACCGTCACACGGCGAATGATTTTCTTCTTACGACGAATAATACGCTGCGTTAGGTGATGTGTTACCGTTTGAACACAAGATTGCTGGAACTGGGTATTGCTAGTCAAATCAAGTGGAACTTGCAGCTGTTGAGGTAGATTTGAGGTAATGACTTTTTCAGTGATTATCGGGTTGTCAAGCACCGCTTGTACAACCAATTTATCTGGTGATTCGCCAACAGCATGCGAAATCTTGGATTGGGTTATTTTTGTGGTTTTGGATCCGTCGTCATCGGAAATGCTACTTATTATTGATTGATTTTCTGTACTTGTTTGAGATACATTCTGTTCAATGGGTTCATTATCTGGGCCAACTACAGAGGATATCTTTGTAAGTTGCTGCTTTTGTTCAATAACTTGTTGATGTTGGATAGTTGTTCTCATCACTTTTCGTACAATGATTTGCTTTCTTCCATCAGCATCAACTACAACTTCTGTAGTGGTATTATCTGGTTCCACAAATATTGTTTCAAATGACGTTTGTGGCACGTTGCGTAGGATCAGTTCGGTTGATTTATTTTGTTCTTCGTTTGGTTGCTTGTACCTGGCATCAACGAAAACGTCTTCTGCGTATTCTGAACCAGTACATGGATTGGGTGCTGATGAAATTTTTATCGTTTCGTGTCCTTCCGATTGTGTCTGCGTTACACAAATATTTTCGGTTGATTTCAAATCTTTGTTAGTCTGTGCAGAACTTTCAGCCGTAATGACATTTTTCGGTAAAATCTGCAAACTTTCACTAGTCTGAGTTTCTACTTCATTGGCACGTTGCTGCAATTGAAGTGGTTCAATATGTTCGGGCATTGAAATGCTTGAATCTAATGTATCTTCGGATGGAGTTGGTGTTGTTGGTTTACGTAGTTCAATCAAACGAATTTCTAACATGTGCACTTTTTCATTTGATCGAATTAACTGTAAGCGAATGACCTCAATTGTACGACCCAATTGTTCTGATAGCGCCATTGTCAGTGGCTTAACATCTTCGTATTCGCTTAAACTGTCACACTTGGCTTTGATTGCTGCCAATGTTTTCTGCTTTCTCACCAATTCCTTAACGTCGCTTTGACATTTTTTGATGTTTTCAATTGTGTTTGGTTCATCATCGTTTAAGACGAGTGCCTCGCTAAGATTTAAATCCCTTAACCAAGTCTCGATTTCGATCAAAAGTAAATGATAGCTTTCAATTTCTGCTCTGCGTTGCATCTGCTTCTGTATTGTATCCTAGAATGCGGACAATGAAAATAAGTTAATCACATTGCGTAAAATTTGGCAGACGAATTTCGGTAAATGCAAAAACTTACTGTTATTAATGTTATTCCATTATTGGATCTTGATATCAAATCTAAAATTTTCTGCTTCAGCTGAGTAATTATTTCTGTGGTATCTGATCCACAAGAACTTTCAGCTGCAGATGCTTGAAGAATGTTTATATCCTTTTTTTGTTGGCTCAAATTCAAAACGATAAGCTGCAATTGAAAAATAAATAATGTTTGATATCAATCCGAAACATTCAACAACATTTTTTTTTTTAATACTAACTTGAAGTGATGATAGCATTTGCTCTAGACTATCACTAGGTAGATTAGCAAGACTTTCTTCAGTTGTTGCCGTCAAATCCAATAATTTGTCCACCTCTAAGGAAATTCTGTCCTGCTTCTGATCATTTTCAAAAGGATGCAATCGAATTAGTGATGATGAATATTTTTATATTATTAATAAAAAAACACAGAATTCATGCAATGAAATGAACCAATTTTGACAATGACTAAATATTATGAATATATTGAATAAGTAAAAAGCCATCTATTGTAATCCAAGGAATTAGTGCGATAGTGAGAATATGATTTCTATGATTGCAAAACATAAAAAAGAATAATTCGTTTATATTTTGCATTTAAATGAGAGTATTGTAATAAAGATGTCTAGCAAAACTTATTTAAATGTCAATTGGATTTTTTACTTGACCAAAATGCATCAGAATAATTGTTTTCACACCGTTGAAATATTGAGATAGTAGTATAATTTTAGCGACCAAATGACATTTCATACGTTTTCCGAATGTATAATAGGGAGTAAATGATTTTGGATGAATAAGTATCAAACAAGTAGCGCATTTAATTTATATAAACGGGCGAGAAACCATGTATCGCTTATATACGAAGCAAATCACCTTCTTTTCTACGCTGTCAATATCGATGTCATCCCCATGAATCGCAGCTTCTTCTTTTGATGTTTGTTCAAATACCGATGTGCTACTTAAAGTCATAGTATCACATGCATTTTGCAATGGAGACTGATCTTTAGGAATGTTATTAGTGGATGTTATCACAAATTCTTTAGTTATTAATACAGGTTGTGTGCAAACAGAATCAGACATTTTTGGTGTCGAATCGTCAGTAATTTCGAAAACAGCCACAATTTCTGGAGCTTCTAACGTATTGTTTACGCTATTTATTGAGGGAACTTCTACATCGTGGGAGTACGCTTTTGATAACAAAGTGTTATAATTCTTTTCAGCAATTTTGTACTCATAGGCAATCGGCCAACGGTCCATTCCATAATAAATTAAATGAGTCTGTACGAGTGGAACTTGTACAGAAGATTCATTTTCCGCGACACTATAAACAATTTCATGTTCGGGTTCGTTTTTATCACTTTCATCTTCTACCAATGTTAAATTGATAGCCTGGTTGATGTTGTCAACAGTTGCATGTACCAATGTGTTTTCTTTTTCGATTTGAGTTGAAAATTCAATGTCACTTGTAGTAGATTCTTTGATATTCTCTTGCTCTTGGTCAGCAACCATATCTGCCCATGATACAAGTAACTGTGGCATTGATTCACTTTGGAAAATATTCATTGGTAGAGCTGAGTCTCTGCGCTCGACGGTTTGTGATGCAGTATTTTCATACTTCAGAGCGACTGAGCTGGGTGACGAATCAACTACATGGTAGACTCTACCCTCTGCTGAAGTGTATGACGAAAGCGCAGGTCTGTTGGTTTCCAATTCATTATTGTCATCGAATTGTTTTTCTTGTTTTTCTTCTTTTTTGGTCATGTCATCATTGGTCGTTTGATGTTTTGATTGCTGTGGTTTGCATTTTTCATGCAATTTTTGTGTTTTGCTGATTGTTGACTGAACCAATTGCTCTTCGCCAGGTGTGGCGAATGATTCTCTTGATGAGGCATTCGGATGTTGTGTCTCAAATACATTATCTCTACCTACAATTGATGCATATGATCGCAGCAACGGCCTAGATTTATTTTCGTATTCAATTCCACTCATCGTCACACTTTGTGATTGTTCCAGATCACATAATTGTTTCTCATTCAATCGTTCTGTTCGCACAATATTCTTTTCATTTGAATTTGTTTCATCCGATTCTCTCTTTCTTTTGGATTTCGGGGATGTTGACTTTGCATCTGGATTTTCTTGTCGACGTTTAGTGTGGGGCAATTGTGATGCTATAAGTTGCTTTTTAATTTTAACAGATTCAACAAAACCATCTTCATCGACTTTCAAAACTTTTTCCACTGACTTTTTGGTAGGATATTTCGTTTTGCTTGCTTTCACAGTGTTTTGGGCTGTTATTGATGGTCGTGTAATAGAACGAGTATCAAATTGTTGCTCATCGAGTTCGCTTGGTATGGATTTCGTTCTTACAATATTTGCCCAGCTTATTGCAGTCGTTGCTTGTGTCGCTTTCAAACTCTGCACATCTTCAAGGGGATTTATTTTTTCAGTAGTTTCATCACTTTTAATATTCTCCACAGTGAATATTTCATCTAGGGTTTTTTTTTCTAATCCCAATTGCTTGTTTGGTTGTTCTTGATCAATCAAGACCTTACATGCCTCCACCTTAGCCAGCTCATCCAAATTGTTATCTCTCACATTCGATAAAGGAGATGTCGTTTTATTTCTTGATTTGATCTTGAGCATTTTAATCTTTGAGGTGCTCGTAGGTACGGTGATATTTTTGTTTTCTACTTGTGTTGGTTTCGCAGTATCAGCCAAAGTTTGTTCAATGTTACTCTTATCGCTTTCAACGACGACTGATCCAACAATACTTGCCCACGATGGTTTATTTGGTCCGATTGACACAGCATTCAATAGTGATAAGTCTTCTGATGGATTATTTCTCGTATCTGGTATTAACACAGTATCAGATACAACAAGGACTTGTTCACTTCGTTCATCTTTTGGAACGACTTTCTTAACCGATATTTTACTTCTAATTTTCTTCGCTTTTCTCTTTGAGACAGACTCTGTATTTGTTGCTATTTCGGGTGGTATGTCAACAATAGATTTCTGCTGTTCTGGGTATTCAATCTCAGGTGTTTCCGGTGTACTAACTGTTTCGTTATCACTTGGCAACCTGTTAGCATAGGATTTAGTGTCATACCGATGCCAAAATGATTGATGCACTGCATTTGGATTGAACTCATCCAGTAATATTTTATCAGGATTTTTATCATTTTGAGCTTCTTCTTCCTTATCAATTGAACTTTCTTCTACGTAAGCTGTATGCACAGTATACATTCCCGATGGACATTCAGCAGTTTCGCACTCTGTAACAGGATCATATGAAGCAAGTTCCAGTAGTGGTCTTGATTGTATTGAAACTGAACGAGGTGTGAAGGAAGGAGCATCAGCTGAAAGATTTGATGTGAAAGTTTTCGTTTGTGTTGAAAAGCGATACAATGAATGCGTTGGAGAATTTTCCTCAAGGATACTGGACCAAGTATCAATTTCTATACTTTGCATATTTTGTGCTGTTGATTCGGGGCTTTGTGATAATTTATGCAGTTGTTGATATTTCTCAATAGATTCTTCTGATGAATGTGGTGCACAATGCGATTGTTGATTATCTAGAGTATTCTCCTGATCCAAAATGTCAGCAGAATGCTTCGAGCCAAGTACAAAATCACGTTGTTCAAGTTCAAGTTCTTTTCCAATGAGATTTTCAGCCGTTTCGATGACGTTTGTTTTTGAATCCCGATCTGCGTGAATTGAAAATTTGGCAGATTCCATGTTATCAATCCATAAGTCAGCGGGTTCATAAACTGGTAATTCTGCGCCCTGTTTAATTTGTTGAACATTATCAA